TTGATCATATCTCGATTGCAATATTTCCTTTAACAAAGTAAAATTACATAAATTAGATGAAAAGTGCTCTGAAACCTTAAGTGCGTCAATAATGCTATGTCATGAACTCTGTTTTGTTTAGAACAAAACAACAGAAAAAAGAGGGGTGCAACAAAAGAAAATATTTTTTCCGCTTTGGTTTAATTTACATTTCTTTTTAAATGTCAGTACGTTTCGGTCAAAGGCACCATTCTTGGCCAGTGGTGTGGAGATTAAGTTATTTGAAGTCATGAAGACAACTCTGTTGCTTATATCCTGCCTCTTTTTTGCGAGCACAGTGAGAGCTGCAAAATTCAACGATGAAGGTAAATACTTTTTTCTGTTTCTCTATCTTGATAAACTGAATGGCTTAATTTTGTGGTTCATTAAAAAGATAGTAGAAAGGGAAGTGCTAATCTTAAGCTAACACTTCTCTTCTTAGCCATCCTTCCGTTCTGTTTGAGTAGATTTGAGTGTCGGTATTTATGGTAGAAGGTAAAGTGAAAGGCAAATTGCGACCTTTAGTGACCCTCTTTATTTTCGAGGGGAGACCCTGATCTATTGACCCACGACAGCAACAGGGCTAGGATACAACTGAAAGTGTTTCAGCGAAAAGGACAAAGAAATAAGAATTGCACGTATTTTCTACCTTGGGTTACTGCAGCCAGAATCAGTTTCGAAGCATGAAGAGATTCGAAGAAGTACTTTGAGTCCTATTTCACAGGTCAGGTGACCTCATAACAGGCGCATATATATTTTCTGAACATTCGGAACCCAATAAATCTCGAAGCTGGCCCAATTCAAACTGCTCTAGAGGCGGTGGATCCAGAGGAATGCGAAAAAAATATCATAGGAACATCTAACTAGCACCTATCTTTAATTCAAGTAAACTCAGGGTTTCTCTACGTGGTTTACTAACATTAAAACCACCTTCATTGCAAAATATATCAAAGTAAATCAAATGCAAATTACATTTTTTCGGTTAATGAATTGAGTCTGTTACGGTACGGTTAAGCCAATCAGCATTTCTTTTTTCGCTTTGAGGTACAATAGCCGCTAATCGCCTCAGGGAGATTAAAAGTTCCACTTTGAGTGTAGAGTCACGGAACGCCAAATCCACTTAAGTCAACAAATATTGATGACAGCGGCATTCATTTCGCCCACTATCTGATAGATTATAGTTGCTAGGCTCAATGTGTGGATTGGCCTCTTGCGCTCAACGTTAAATCTGAGAACAAAAAGGAATACAATAACTATGTTTGCTATTAGATGAAATGAGAGTAACCTACCACAAGTTGGTATTTTGATGTCCGTGAAGTGAAAATGACACCAACCCCTAAGCTAGGTTATGAGGTATAGAACGTGGGCCGGATATAATCAAGTAACTCCAAACTATTATTTTCCCATCCCAGGCTTTGCCATATTCTTCTTATTTTCGACCTCCAAATTTTCGTTTGTTTTATAACTGTCCGGTCAATGTAGGTCCATGCAAGTGGAAACATGCTTTTGGGATTAATTTGATTTCACACAAGGCGATTGTGTTGGTATCCGTAAGAGACCCACCTAATCTGAAATAAAGTGTATAGGATCCCGATCCCAAAACTAGGCTTGAAACAAAAACAACAACAACAAAACTTTATTAATAAACAAATAAAATTACAAAAGTATTGCCTGCAGCTAGTAAGGCTTTTCGAGGCGAGACAATGCGTTCAAAATATAAGAAATAAAGACTTAGGCTATTTACTAACGAAAGTCTACAAGCACTGCCATACTCTTGGTAGGATCACGTGAATTGTCGTTATTATTATCTTATTTTTCGCCTAGAACCTAGACGGAAAATTTTGTGCCTCGAGGGAGCGAACTGATACTGATATTACTACAGGGTCCAGAGCTAGAGGAGTTCATTTTGTCGTAAGAAGATGAAAAATATCTATATGATGAATACATTCACAATTCACAATAGTTTTTTCGATCACGCTGTCATTGGGTTACATTTCTTTTAGGCAACTTTATACCGGAAACTTAAAGGACTGACGACACCAAGATCGGCTTACAGTATATAATACGGCCTTGTCCGGAGTCGTATCTTTCGTGCTTCGCTTCGAAAGCTTCGCTCCGAATGTGTCACCCTTCGGGCGACGTTAGAATGTCAGGCGATTAAGTAAACAGTGAGTGTTCCCATACTAACTGATTGTTTACTGATTTTTATTCTGTTCAAGATCCCACCAAAATTGTTGATGGAAAAGTACTTCCAGATGCACCAGGTTAGACAAAAATTGTACGATCTGCGCTATCGAATTAATAGTCTAGTTTGTAGTTTGTCATGTCGTCTGTTACAAGGGATGCAAGGATGAACACTGATTAAAACTTGAAAATTTTGGCCAACTTTTAATGCCATACCTGCAAAAATCACCTGAAAAGTTATTATGGTTAGTGCGCCGTAATAATAATTAGTAGAATCACATTGATAATGATCGAAAATAGAGAGCTATGATTGGCTAGGAGCTCCGCTTCATCACCTCCTTGAGGTGATTATAACATTGAAGGCTAGCAGCTTTCAAAATGGCAGCCAGATTTGTTGATGTTTGGGAATCGGAAATTGATCAATAATTTTAATTTCTCGAATAGTCATCAATGTAATTATACTAAAACATTCGTCTCGGTGACTATTCGCCGATATTCACGTCGCCTCAGGCGACTAATTGTTAATTGTTTGTTGTCTCGCTTCATAACTCTAAAGGAGCATTTTTTTTGGCACTAATTTTTAAAATGACTTATAGTAAATGACTGACCTAAAACAGCAAATATCCTCGTAATATAGCTCATTTAAACTTGTAATTGTTAAACATCTAATAAAAATATTGATTGAAAGTTTTTGAAATTGTATGTCATATTGAGAACAGTGGTTCATCCCTCAAATGGGGTAGGAAAAATCACTTACTTTGGTGTTAAATAGGTTAAGAGTGTTTCAGATAGCATGCTGCACACCCCTACCCGAATTTACCAGGAGTACCCTTCCTCGACCTTGTGACATTGAGGCTACAAAATGGCTACAAATAATTGCTAGTGAGCCATAATATCAATGTTTGCCTTTTTATTTTACGTGTCCAGAGGGGGACAATGAATATATCGGAGATGAAGTAATTGAAGAAACTGAGAAAGAGGACTCTGCTATCGGCGAGGAAAATGGTAAGTATTGTGTGCAGGAGCCTATCAGCCTGTATTTTAAAAATGAACCTGCATGAATTTTTACAAAAGGTTCATGTAGCAGCTGCTCGGAAGAGAAGTCACCAATGGTGCGTTTCCCTGACACCAAGCAATACTAAAACAATTCGAAGAATGACATGTAATTGTTTCCTGCGATCAATTAGGAGAGACCTTAAGAGCAGCCCATCCAACACTACTCCTGGTAACAAAAAAAAACGATGGACAGTATGATAAGGCTAGAAAAATTGACGTCTTTGGCAGAGAATTGGGGAGGGGAGACTTAAGTCTAACCTTTCTTGCTATTCTTCTCAAAAAATACTCAATCTGTCGTGAGTACAGATTGAAGGTTACAGTCTCGAGAGGATTAGTGCACCTTTTAAAACGTTTCTATAGGTCAACTGCTCTGTATAAACGTTGTAACATAGAGCGCTTACCATTTTTAGGGAACTTTCCGTGAAAATTTTGCCACAAATAGTGCTGGTATTATTTCTTTTCGCACCGAAAACAAGAATGGGATTGAAATGTACCGTTTGCATAATGCCAATAAATTCTTCACTTTCTGTCGAGTGGAAGCCTGGCTATGGCCATCCCCACAATTGGTTACGTCTTTTCGGCTAAAGTGGTAAAAAGGTAATACCTAGTATTTTCCGTACAAATAGTAAGCGCTCCTAGGCTTATTATTGTCCTGAAATCTGCTGGTGACTTGTATAGTGTTGAACTGACGCCGTGAGTGCTTCATTTTTTGTTATGAAATTTCCCTCGCTAATTAGAAAAATCAAGACTAGGTAATAGAAAAATTGATTAATAAAACTAGAGAACTTGACAGAAGTTTATATGTTTTTAGATAAAAAGTATCTTGTCAATGGCAAAATGTTTGAAGCAGAAGATTTTGATGAACCCATCCCAGTTGATGGACAAACTCAGGGGACTGAAAGAGATGAAATGAACGAACCCGCTGAAGATGCAGCACCTTATGGTATTCTTTTAAAAGTTCTTCTTTAGCTTTTGTAAACAGTTGCGCTTATTTCTTCATCAAAAATTGAGAAGGGCAAAGCATATTCCGTGAACAGGCATACCGTATTCCTAGTAGATAAGTTGGCTGAATACTGAAGGACCACGATTACTTAATGTCAGTTTCATTTAGAAACACGATCTATGCAGCCAGGAAACTCGTAACCAGATAGCGCCCGATATCTCGGCTTACTTCCCCCCTGAAAACACTAACAATCGCAATAAACAATTAACAACTATTGCTTAAAGCTCTGTACCTTGAAGCGACCTTCCCTACGTTTCTTAGGTTTGCAGGAGAACCCTACTCCATAGCTCAACTCTTTGAAGACTCTTTTCAGCCATAAGATGCACATGGTTCAAAAGAAAAAGCAAACCACCCACTATATATGAAATGTGACATAAAATCAAGCGAGTTACCAATTGAAAATATAATAATGAGAAACAGTCCAGTCTTGGACCGCCATGTTTTGACGTAATGCGCCAATTGCCCCGCTAACCAAAAAGCCAGAAGACCCTGGGAACGAGATTGGTTATGCAAATGATCAGCAACATATCTTCTGCCAAGAACCTTGATAATCACTTTGCAAGTCGTGAGAACATCGTTCGGTGTCATTTAAGAAAATATATGGGAAGTAGCTCCCCAACCCCTGCTTTGCGCCTAGGGAATGTTTGTTGCCAAAGGATTATTATAGGTACAAAGAATATCTAGTTAAAATGTAAAACAAACTCCACAAGATTTCTAGTATACTAGAGCTACCTACTGATTTCTAGGATGGACAAAGCATCCATTCAGCTGGTGTACAATTAGAGGGCGTCAGTTTTTGAGTGGACAAAGAGGTGTGGTGCAAAACTTCACGCAGTGCGCTGAGCAATGTGAACAAACCCCGGGTTGCAAGGCGATTGAATTGTGGCATAATTACAACTGGAACTGTTACTGGTGCAAGAGAACAGATTTGATCGAACCTTACACCAATACACGTGATCTCGCCTACCCTGCACATGTGTGGGTACAAAGTAAGTGACGTATTTCATTATTATTATTATTATTATTATTTTTAATAACAAAAGGAAAAATCTTCATTAACATATGACCAATTTGCATTCCACTGTAATAGACTAAAATTTTGATGAAATAAAAATACTAAAAGATCCTAAACACTAATTTACAAGCTCATGCCATTATCGACTTTCTAAAATTAGCGGACACACGATTGGCTAGCTTTTAAGCGGCAGTCATAATATGACCAATTTACATTCCACTATCATAGACCAAGAGAGAATGAGATCATTCTCTCTTGCATAGACTAAAATTTTGATGAATTAAAAATATTACTAGTAGTAGTTGACACTACAACTGCCCCCGCTCTGTATATAGTATTCTTCCTCCTTGTGTAGCTCTTTGAAATATACCGATTCATAATGAAGATGTTCACACATATTCCATAAGGTGAGATAAATACAGGAAATATACGCAAGGTTCCATGCACAGTTTCGGTTCGATTTACACAGCTTTGATCAAAACATTCTCAGTCTCGAGAATAGTTTATTCTAAACCATAAGAAAAGATTTAATTAGAAGTTTAATTTTTCTCTATTTCTATTTCACTTTTTACAATTAGTTCATTTCATTTGCCGGAAAGTAAACCTTAGAAATTAAAAGGACGTTTGATCAATTCACGCTCGCGCATTCTAGTCTTATTTTAAACTTTATAGCGGAAGGACATCTGTGAGCAGGGAATACGTCAGCACAGAATTTGATGGTCGGCGAATTTCTATAATCGTCCATCGTTCTGTTAGTGATAAGCTAGCCGTTGAATCATTCACTCGTCTTGCTTGTTTTGGGACGAGTCTTACTCCGGTCAAAGAGAGAGAAAGAGTGTCTGACAAGGTTCAACTGAAGGTTTCCAATCAAAGATTTGTGAACTCGTGTCTAGCAAACTTACTTAGTGTTAAAATACACACTGTTCTACGCACCTTATAACTTCATCTGCGCTTAACGAGTGTTGTTTGGTCCATAACTTTCATAACAACTGCTCCACAGAAAGTCACTGATAACAGGTAACGCAAAAGAGTATCGAAATATGACTGCACAATTAATGTCACAAAATCTACCTATTGTAAGATGTTCCTACGGGATTTTTTGTGTTTCATGTCATCCTAACCATTTCGTATTGTGGGCGCAAACAATAGAAACGTCATCATTACCTACCGATTCCTCGCGGCCCCTGTTCATGCAAATCGAGATTTTTTCTAAATTGACTGTATGTCTGTATATTTCAACTGTAAGTACTTTCCTTAATATACGCGCGAGTTACTAGAGTGCCTCCTCGGGATTTCGCCTTCTGGTCGAATCTCTGCGGCGCAAAAAAGACTCTAAAATACTAATTTACAAGCTCACGCCATTATCACTTTCTAAAATTAGCGGACTCACGCTTGGCTAACATTTAAGCGACAGTCATCAATGAAATCCCCTTCTGGAATTTTGTGGAAGGGTGTCCTAGAACCTCTTACGCATGTGTGTACCGACCTTAAAATCTCAAAAGAAAGCAATGTTCTAATCCAAGTAATAGCTAGTAATGTGATAAGATTCCTCATTCTTTTCTGAGAGCTTCTCGGCTAGGCATTTGAGAGAGCATTCGTAGTCGGCTCCCTTCCCACCGTTGGTTCCAAAAACTAGGGGAATGAAAGATCCCATTTCCACTTCCAGCACCCTCTCTTGGTACTTCCGCTTTTTCTCCTCCTCCAGCTCCTTAAAGATTGTGGATGTTGCTTTTCCCTGGTTACACTTGGAGTTAACATGTGTTACTCTGACATCAAAAAATGCTGTAATTCCACGAGACCAAAAGCTTATTATTATTATTATTATTATTATTATCAAGATTGTATTTGTTATTACTATTATTATTATTATTATCATTATTATTTTCAATTTGAGAAGAGTTCAGAAAAATATGTTTTTTTTTTGTAAAAAAAAATTAGTATGTTTAATTAAATGGTGACGAGTGAAATTAGGGAATAATTTCACGCGCGTTTTGTCCAAATCCTTGTAATTTCCCGAACCTTTAGGCGAGGGAAATTATTAGGATGTGGACAAAACGCAAGGGAAATTATTCCCTAATTTCACGAGTATGCCATTTGATTACCTATTAATATCATGGGTGACGAATTACGTTAGCATTCTTGGATTTTTGACATGTTTGTCCTGGATCATATCGATCGAGAACTCCACTCTCTCAAATGTTTAGACCTTAAATTTGGCTTGTAAAGATCAGAATTTTTCAGACTTTTCGGCAAAATACCTTTTAGAGTCCTTCTTGATGTTGTCTTGTGTGTTCAGGTTTTCTTTTTGTGCCCTGACATCTTGATTCACGGCATTTTAAAACTTCGTCGCCATCTTGACACTGAGACGTACGGAAGGTTGCCATGCAATTTTGTAATTTCACATGTGAAATTACAAATTTTCGCTGAAATTTCGCGCCAAAATTAAGGAGTAATTCGTCACCTATGATATTATTATTATTATTATTATCATTATAAGTTTATTTGTAATCCACTACTTTTAATCTTTTCATAAACCTCGTGGAGTTTTCTATTCCGGCATTTCAAATTTTCAAGCTCCGTAGATCGAATAGATTGTAATCGGAAAGGTATTATTAGAGGTTGTAATCATCCGTTGTGAACTTTTAAATTGTTTGACAGTTTGATTTGTTTATGACTATGATTATTGTTTATTGTAGACTCTGAACCCACAACTGGTCCAGGTAAGATTTGTTAAACTAATTGGTTCCCAGGAATCGCTTATTACTGTATTTTGAATGTGCTTATAATCTAATACTTGTAATCGCGCTTGATCCTCTAATAAAAGTACGTAAGAAAAAGTATTGTTTGGATAATTATAAGGACCCGTGTGTTTTTATGTTTTTTAGTTTCTGTATACACGACATATCTAGCGGAAAGTAAATGCTACTGAATTTGGTATCTTTTCTGTCCTGGAAAACTATTATTCCCTTGATCATTTCAGCTAAGTAGTTTAGATGGATAGAACTGCCATAATTTTTTTTTTCTGGGTCTGTTTTAGTAACCGAACCGACTACAATCCCATCTCCTCCGGGTAAGTTTTTCATAGTTATTTTATTTCTTACCTTATCTTACCTTACCTTACCTTCATATATGTAAAACAACAGTGATATATAAATCACTTCAATTCATAGTAATCTTAAACTATGGTCTAATTTCTGCAGAAGTCAATGTCACTTGTGATCAGAACGAGATGTCGATCAGCATACCAAAATATCTTCTTCACGGATTGGACAGAGAGCATCTCCGCCTTAGTGACGTGAGCTGCGAAGCCATGGAAACCAGAACTCACTTCATTCTTCGCACAAAGCTCACTGGATGCCACACAGTTATCAGACACACCCAGAATTTCGTCAGCTACATGAACAAGGTGGAGGAGATTCCCATCAAGCCAGGCCAGATCATCACACGAGTTCGGGAAGTGGAAATCCCTTTCGCTTGTTACTACTCAAACACAGGAGTGGTATCCGCCGTTGGCCTTGAAGTCAAGAGCAAGAAAATCATTTTCTCCAAGAAGGGATATGGAAAATTCGTGTTGGATATGAATATTTACCCAACTCCTAGCTTTAGTCTTGAGTACAAGAAAAAAGATTTCCCAATAGTCGTGCCTCTAAGGAAATTGCTGTACGTGAAAGTCAGTGTTGATTCAGATGACCGCAGGCTGGATATCTTGGCAGTAGATTGCTGGGCCACACCAAACGCTAATCCCTTAAGTCCTGGATTAAGATACGAATTTATCAAAGACGGGTAAACAGTTCACTTTATTTTGTACTTTAATTTGTTAAGAAAATTTAAATGCTAAAGATATGTTTGTAATGGAAATTACACTTAACTCATCCAGATAGTTTACAGTCACTCCACTCAAATAATTCCAAATAAAGCATAAGAGGATTAGAAACCCCAACTGGTAGGAGTAACCACCTCCAGTTGGCTATTAACTAGCGTGGCCGTAGATTTTTTCTCGGAACAACCATGAACAAATCCAGCTAGCTAGGGCGATTGCAAGTCCGGCGCTCAAACCACTCGGTCACGCTTCCTCCCTACTTCGCAAAGACCACTTGCCAACACCAGCATTAGGTTTCCATTTTACAGATGAAAGTTCATCTTTTCTTTATATCTTTCTCCTTCAGATGCCCAATTGATGATACTGTGATGGACATTCCAACAGCAGACAAGCGTATGCAAAAATTCAAACTTGAAGCCTTCAGCTTTATTGGTGACCATCAGTTCGTGTACATGCATTGCAAGGTCTTGATCTGTAACGCATCAGATCCCAACTCACGTTGTGCGCAGGGCTGCGTTAATCGAGCAAAGAGGTCCCTGATGACTCAAGGATCCAGAAACGAGGAGGTACACTTGTCTCAGGGACCATTCATGCGTGGAGATGATGAAAAAGATAAAGAAGAAACTAAACTGGAGGAAACGGAGAAAGACATGCGAGATGTGGAAAAAAGTGGTAAGTTTAACACTAACCTTATCATTGGTGGTTTATACCATGTGGTTTGGTTTATTGTTTGTCTAACAGTTATTTAACAATTAATGAATGAGGCTGAGTATCTTATGAAGAATTATGGAGATCGAGGAGAGTGTTATCCGTCGAAGCCGTAGGCTGAGGCGGATAACACCCTCCGAGATCTCAATAATTCTTCATATGATACGAAAGCCGAATTCAATAATTGTTTTATTATTCATTCAAAATAATTCATAATTTAAAAACAAAGCTAAAACATGCTTACCTCCATCAGGAGCCGATTACCTCCATCGATGTTAAGAGCACCTTCGATAGTACACGTTTAGGGTCATTCAGCTCCGCAAATGTTCTCCAAATAGCAGATGTCGCCCTTCGAGTTGTGTTCTTGCTGTTCTTGCCATGTTTGTAGCTATAATTTCGCCTAGTTCTTACTCTTGAAACGAGTGAAATGTCCGCCATTTTTTGTTTTCACAACCAAAACAACTCAAACTCGTCCCCAGGTCTTCTCGGTTAACGGTGCCTTAACCTGCGAGAACGCTGCATTTTTGACGTCATTTCCTCGTTAAACACAATTTTTTTCCAAATTTGGTCATCAGTAATTGCGGTTATGGTGAATTATGCGTGTGCTTTTAGCCAATCAGAATCGGGGAAATACTTTGAATGTGGCGACTGGCAGCAGATGAGTTGCATAAACAGCCCCGGCCCTCCTGTTTATAATTATCTCAAATAAGAACCAGCAATACGTGGGAGATACGTAACTATCGCCGAAGTAATTGGTTGGTAGTCCGGCCCAGTTTTTAACTCAATATCCCGATGAGTCTACAGCACTGAGCATACTCTCTGGGCTGAGTTTCCCAAATTAAAAGGGGATTGTTACAGATTTAAAAAATCGACTGTAAATCTCTCCTCCATAAAAAAAAAATGAATTTACAATATTGTATTTTGCAGGTATGTTTCCCACCCTGGTCGCTGCCATGGCTGTGGTTGCTGCCGTTTGCGTCATGGGTGTGTCTTATTTCGCCTGGAACAGTAGGAAGCAAAGGGCTGTGCGTGATTACCAACTACTCACTGTTGCCGCTGAAGACTGAAACTCCGGCCTGCGATCGAATAAACTTACCTAGTAACTGATCCGTTTAGGCATTTCCGGTTGTTGTTATGTGTGATAAAAAAGGTTATTTTTCATAAACTGGCAAAAAATATATCATCTCAACTCACATGTTTCTGCTAATCCTCGTTCACAGCTGGTGTTTTAAAGCCGTTCTGTAAGTGCACATAAACTGTTTAGTTGATAAATACACAGTAGAAGTTTATGCATCATTTCCGATCTTTCGTTGGCATAAGGGACTCTAAAAACTTTCATCTGGCTCAAAGAAAACCATCAACTCTTGTAGTTGACTATTCTTTTCTCTCTTCTCTTTTTTTCTTTTTTTGAAAGTAGTGAGTTTACGCAACAGGACGGCTGCAAGAAGAGTACGGCAAAACGTTTGTGTGTGACAAACGTGACCGGGCTATCACGTGCGTGTTTTGTCGTGATCTTCACTTACCACTAATGTTTTCTGGCCTTTTACAAAAAGATATTCCTAATAAAGAAAAGTGAAGTTTGGGGAAAATGTATTTCAAACAAAATTGTCACGCTTGTCACACCAGGGTTTGCCGTCTTCTTTCCTCTCTTGTCCTTTTGCGTAAGTTCACTAATACCTCAGCCAATTGCAGGGGAGTAGCCAGGATTTTTGTTTCCAGCCGAGTACACATAACTTTCCACATCCTGCTTCTCTTTCGCTT